CATGAAACCCGTCAAAGAGTGATGCCCTTCAGAAAGTATCCCCACATTGCTGAACGACATGCTACAAATGAATTAGGCAAAAGACAGACTGAATGTTTTTTCGAACAGATTACACATATTTGGGCAAAAAGTGCTTTATCCAACATCATTTTTTCATTGCCACCCACCCGGCAGTCCCCTAGTTTTTTTCATTTGAAAATTTTGCATCTTCTGGTACTTAGAACCACAATCTGATGATCAGTGTAAAATATGCCAATGATCTGACCGTCACAGGAATGGTGATCTAAATGATACAGAATAGGGAGGCATAAAAAATGCAGCTAATGCCGTCGACCATTTGGTTTATGGTTCTAGTCTGTTCTGAAGGCATTCTAAGTCAGCTGATGCCAATTTTTAATGCAGAATACTCGGAATATGACGTTCATCAGATACATGGCAAAAACGTATGTATCAGGGGTGAAACTGCATACGACGAACGAGATCAAAAAACCTGGCGCCGTGGTTTCTTCAAATTTCAGATGGCCATCTCTCTTAACGGCTGTTTTCAAGAATGTCACGAAGATATCCTATGATGTGATATGCGTTGCCCGATAGACATGCAACGAGGATGTTTAAATTCAAGTGAATTCAAATTCAATTCAGCATTCGACAAAGTCACTTCCTACAACGTCTGTTGCAGGAATAGCGTCTTATGAACTGATGTTTAATGTCATTTGTAGCTAAATATAGCTTCTTTCGGCGGCCTAATGACGAAAAGAGCAAACTGAGGTGATGGTAAATGAGCCTAACTGTTGATCGATCACTAATTGATAACACTAACTCGGTGCTGAAAATAGTTGTGCAACGATTGACACGAGAGACTGGATGGCATATTTTTAACACGTCTTTGCAACTGTCATTCGATGCATGGAACTTTTTGCTTTGGGACATGAATTTATAGCCGAGTATGCTCGCAGAGTACAAATAGTGAGTGAGTGTCCGACGAAAAAAAAACATATTGATATGACTTCACTTTGGAAGAGGTCAAAAAACACCTCAGCTAACGGGAAAACGTTGGGAAATGAGTTTACTTCAACTGTGGTCAAGAAAAGATTCTCCCCTTAAAAAGCACTCCTGGCTGATATATAGAGACGGAGATCATCGACGCACCGGAAGCTCCATGAAATGAAGAACGCCACAATTAGCTCCCTTTCATGAAAGCATAAGGGAGATTGATATCCCAACAGTTGCTAACGTTCTTTGCTTTTCTTCTTTCCTAGTTAAAAAAACTTTGCAAGCCACTGTGATATTTGTTATGCACAAATATGCGTTGAGAAGTACTCAAACTTAATAAATGTTTGCATTATGTTTTCTTTTCTTGTGCCTTTGACATATAAGGTTGACAAAGTTTGAATAACAGAATCAAATTAGTGCCTCATTTTAATATTATTATTGTCCAAAAAGTCTTAATGCACTACGGAAAGCATTTATTACCCCTCTAAAGATCTGTTCTGATAAATCTTTCACAATCAAGCGCGATGCGTTTTCGAACGGCAAACTTGCTGAACATCCCGAAACGTCACACCAAAAGTGTTGCTGCTTCCGAGCCCTCAACATCGCCATAATTCATTGTCATCGTTTCCGCCACGATACGCCGGCACTGCCCATGGTACGATATCTCGTATACAGTAGGGTGTATAATCCTGAGCCGCTATGAGAGCTTTCAGACTTGTCATGACACTCGAAGTGGTGGGCTATCACCGAGTATCGAAATATAAAGAAATAACGTTTAGCTTAATACATGGCAATGTTCATTGTTGAGGCAAGGGTTATGTTATATTCATCGCCACAAGCACACGTTTCTCAAAATGGTACTTCCAATTTTTTGCACGGTCATCTTCTGACAGGTCTTAGATCAGGACACGGTTCACAAGCGAACGATCGTTTGAAATTACATTCTGTTCTTGGCCATTTCATGGAAAGCCTAAAACGCCGATCTTTGAGCTCTTCAGATTTTTTCAGGTCGCATCAACAACTTTTCGCTCATGATAAAGTTCTCCAACCCACTGCAAGGATAAACGGACGTATTTGAATAAGCCGAAGCAAGTTTGTATCACTTCAGAACACCAGATGTTCCCAGACAATATGAATAAGTATTTCAGCAACTTTTAGATGGTAGTTGTCGTGTTTCTGTGTAGTTCGATCGCATGAGCCATTAGACTTACAATAGTTATCACCAATGAGGGGTTTTTTCATGATGTGAACGAAGTAACGCACTGGATATCATGGCGCGTTGGAACTTTTCTTTGCTCTGAATTGCAAAAGGGGGGGGGACGACATTTAAATAGACCACAACTACTTTGTGTCTGAGCAACTGCACTGCCGGATGCATTCCACAGTATGCCGTGAAATCTGGTCTTGAACCAGTTACGCGTTATCTCGCATGCCCAGGCGAACGAACATACTTTGATGTTCCCGTGATGTGAACAAATTCAATAATGACTCGATCGTACCCTGTGTCAACTTGGCAGTACAGGTTAACTACTCTTCAGTCATTTCTCCGGATTTTCACAGTATAGATCCGCTGTCCATTTGTTTCTAACAGGATAGTAGAACCTAGAAACAGGCAATGGCTTCATGGTATGTTAACAATTGCAATGCATGGATGCAAAACCGCATCAATGAGCAGGGCTGAAACAGAAAACTGCGGATGCACCTACCGAAATACCATCAGTCATAGGCAAATCAAGGTTCATCAAGATTCATCGACATTGCTCAGGTTTCAGTATAGATTTTACGACGTTCGCCACGAGCACAATCATGCCAGGTCATTTTATCTTTGGCGGTTTGTATCCGGTTCCTTTCGGCTATTTCTCCTGCATAGGTACCTTACCTCATCGGAGGTCATCCGAGTAGTCGTTTTCTTTCCCTAGGGTACCATTCGGCAATGCGCGAGGTCCATCGATTGTCATCAAGACCTGCCCACCAGATCTTGCTCCCTCATGGCTCGTACGATGTCTTTCACGCCACTCTTGCTTAGAATTTTATTGTCCACACAGTCACGAAGAAATATTCTAAGCATCCTTCGTTCCATTGTTCTCTCCGTCACAGCCATCACGGTCCTTCTGATCTGACACTTGGAACAAATCGATGATGCCATAGAATTTGCGCCATCCGGCAGCCGTTCGACGTACGATCTCCGGCAAAAGATCATGGCGCATATTCAGTTCTTGGCCCAAGTAGACATAGTTATTGACTTTGTACAAATCCGCGCCGTGTACCTGTAAATTTGCCTTGGGCATGCCGACACTTTGCATCACCTTCGTTTCCGTAACGTTTATTTTAAGACCCACTTCTTCTGAGCTTTTGCAGCGTCTCCTTCATTTCTCGAGCATCTTTTGCCATGCGTACTGTGTCGTCTGTTCGCCGCTGATGATTCATCTGTTCGCCGTTGACGTTCAGACCTCCCCTTCTGTTCAGTTTGCCGAACACCATCTCGAGGCAGGCGTTAAAGAACTTGGATGACAAAGGATCGCCCCGTCTCACGCCCTTATCGATCAGTATACGAATTGGATTTGGGAAAAGCGTTATATTAATCGAGCATCCTGTATTCCCTTCTTTGGTGAGTTCGACATAGTTCTCATCGATTTAGTCTTCCACAAGAGCTTACAGGACAGCGTTGAGTTCCACACTATCGAATGGCTTCTAGTAATCGACGAAAAGGAGATATAAGGGCAATTTGTACTCCTTAGCAGGTTCTGACAGCTGGTTTAGAGAAAAGAGGTTGTCCGTAGTGATGTACTTACTTCGAAATTGGGCTTGTTCTCTCGGCTGCTGTTCATCGAGATACCCTGTGAACAGCTTGTACACGTGGGAGAGCAAGAAGATCGAACGATAATTCTTCAGGTGTTCTTTATCACTCCTTTATGGAGCAGAACGGTCTTCAATTCCTTCAACTGCTAGGGATGGCCTTCTCAGTCAGGTAGCGACTGAATCTAGCGGCGGGTGCCTTCCAGAATTCGTGCCCACCGACTTTCATGAGCTCAATGCTAATGCCGTCGTTTCCGGGAGCTTTTCCACTTTTCATCTGGAAGATTGCGTTTTTTGCTTCACTCATCAGCACAGGGAGAATTTGTTTCTTGGCGGTTAGATATTCGGGTGCTGGCACGTCTGTACATATTCGCCAACAGTTTCGTGCAGAATTTTCTACATAGTTCTTCCATATCTGTTCGGTTCGTGATTCGACGACCATCTTCAGTTTTCAGCGCCGCTGCTGTTTGATGGTATAACAGCATTTCCCTCTTGCATTTCTTCAGGCTTTGTTTTCTTTGAACCGAACCGCCGTTATTCGCCTTCGGCGACTGTAGTCTTCGAATTCCTCCAGTTTCTTACGAATTAACCTGCGGAGAAGATTCTACTCCACATTATTGATCTTATCCCGCTTTAAGGTTCTTCTCTTCTCTAGCAGTTCTTCTGTCACCTCTGATACCGTAGAATTCAGTCGAGCATGTTCAGGTCTTTTTGAGCACCGAAGGTGCTTCTCAGTGAAATTTTGGTACTTTTGTTCAATGCTCGCCGTCATAGTCAAGTCGGTAGTTCCAACTTGCCGCTCCATCTCCGGTTCGTCCATCTCCGTGGACCCTGTACCTTGATGCGACTCGTACAGTGCCCTTCGTTCGACAGCCGGAATTATGTGTATTCTTGCCCGAAACATACGGTGATCGCTTCATGTGTTGAACGAGGGTTCGACGGAAACATCGTTTAAAATGCATGTGTATCGACCAGAAATGTGCATCGACCATAATACGGTGGATTTCATTTTTCATAGCTGCGTTTTGTATTATCCATGTCCATTTCCGTCCCACTTTCTTCCGGAAGCAGGTGTTACCCACGAACTGTTTGTTGGCCTCTACCGTTGCTACTATTCTATCACCCCTATTGCTTCGCTCTCATATGCCGAATCTGCCAGTGTGCTTCCCTCCGGCTTTCCCTCATTGACCAAGTTTTGCGTTGAAGTCACCCCTCATTATCGTGATGGTGAGAATTGATTCCAGTTCCGCATAGAATTCTTCAACCTCATCGTCATCGCTGGTCGTAGGGCGAGCATAGACTTGAACGATTTTGAGGGTCTCGTTTGAATTCAGCCGTAGAAGGAGTACACCGACTCGCGATGAACTAAAGCGGTAGGAAAGAATTCGTAGAGACTTCTTCCTGTTCAGGATAAAACCAATTTCACCTCAATTTCTCTGTCCTTCTACTTTTCTCAGAAGAACCGCGTTGCCATCACTCCAGATCGCGTTCAGTTCTGTCTTTCTTTGTGTCTGCCAGACGCTGAAGACATCGCAAGACGTTCTGTTAATCTTCTGGAGATGGTTGATGTGTTCATCCATCGACAGCGACCTACAATTGTAGGTGCATATCGAGAGGTCAGGTTCATTTCTTTTAGGCGGCCTGGTCATCCTGAGATTCTTAACAGTACCTCATCCTGATAAGATAATGTATTGATATGTTTTGATCACAAAAAATCTTTCAATAGCGTTTTGTCTTAAAGCATTGTGGAGTTTATCGTTTGGCTTGATCTCCGTTAGTTCTGGAAGGATGGTCAAACATGTATAAATGAAGACTATTTCCTCGTATCTTTGAAACGGTTAACATTTTCGTAACTCTTTGGATGAAGCACGACGATATATTTTATGAATGCTAGGCAAATTATGCTGATGAATAGTAAACAAAAGTCACTCACAGTTGCAATGACTGTAGCACCATCCGCATCCGCATTACATCTGGAAGCACACTACTTTTTGTGCCGTCTTTTTTCTTGTTGGGACTTTCTGTTCGGGGCACCACAATAATGATTTTAAAGTCAACAGTTTGCTTCTTCTTCAAAATCTGTTAGGCCGTCTTTGACAGCCGCCAATGAATAAAAATGCGAGATCACGTGACAGGGTGAGGCTGTCGTTGTTATTAGTACGACTGTTACCACAACTTGCCAAGCAATGTTCAATAACTTATACTATTTAGGGCATGCCTCGCATTTGCTTCGATGATGCAAAAATGACCATCGCAGAGTTCAGCAAGTTTTTATTTCAATGTTTGTGTCTGTACACTGTCGGTTCAAAGACGACTTCAACTTCAGTTGTGGCAGTACTCCACCAGATCTGAATTTGTCTGCCAGTTTTTCAATGCCATTCAGGAATCAGGACAACGCTCAGTCTGTAGTGGTGTCTGTGGGACGGCACCAGTGGCAAAAGGATTCTCGTTTAGTCACATCTTCAACTCTTGATGCCCTGCTCTCACACAGATGAAGGAGATGGGACAGACAGTAGTCTGCAGAACCAAGCACTACGTCCTCAGGTTGATCCTTGAAGGTGATTCTACAGTAGCCTGGAGAGCTGAAGGAACCCTGCAGATACCATTCAAGCCGTAATTTCATGTTTCGACCGTCTGTTGAGAATGGATGAGCCAAGGTATGGGAAGGCGATGACTTTCCCAAAGGTAGTTACACACAGGAGGATTGATATTTTCTTCTATTCCGGGATCCTTTGAGAGAATATTTTGTTTTGTTGCATTAATTGATAGTAGCCATGTCATGGATTCGCTTAGGGGCTTCTTGCCAAT